TCTTTCTTTGTGTCTTTCTATTGTGTTTTCTATTGTAATTTTCCTTCTTTTTCTCATACAGGTGAGTTACCTTGAGTGGTTAACCGGTTAATCTTCAGAAACATCTGCGCTTCCATGGGATTCTTTTTTCTTTTCCTATCCCATACCTTTTTAGTTTTAGTTTATCATATATTTTGTATATGATTTTGTTTTTTTTGGATTATGTGGTGATTTTGACTTTCCCGATTGTGTAACCTCCCCTGATTTGACATACCAATTGTGACTCCTTTATGGACGTGTGATACACGAAGCTATCATCCACCAAATTTAATTTCGAAAATCTAAAAACATGTACCAATTTAATTTAGTTTTCCTTAGTGGTGTTTGGGCGAAAGTCCTCTTTGAGGGCCTTTCTTTTTTTGGAGGGGGGCAGTGTAGCATTTTTTATTTCCTTTAGTAAAATTGAATTTAAAAATCTAATTTTATTTAAATTTCTTAGTATTGGCGCCATCTATTTGTTAGATGCCAAAGATACCAAACTCCATTTGTTACAGCTCACTTGTCTCGATATTTAATTTTTATTAGCGCATCTATTCGCTAGATGTCAAACTTCATTTACTACAGTTCACTTGTCTTGTTTATTAGCGCCATCTATTCGCTATATGCCAAACTTCCTTAATTGCATTTCACTTGTCTGAATCTCACTTCGCTGTGGATTGCGATTTTCTGTTCTAATGATTTCGATCATATGATATCACTTTTTTCTCTCCCTTTTTCTTTTTTTCTGGGAATTTGGATCTGAAGAAGACGCGTGCTTCGGCGTCCGACAAATTTTCCAGTGAAAAGCACTCTGCATCCACTTTTCGATTTCGATTGCATGGGTATCCGATTTGGAGATTTGAAAACCTTGTAAAGTATGCAATCCGGAGTATAGATCGTATTTTTTTGGATTCTTCCTGGAATGATCACCGTAAGTTTATCCGCCATTTTATATAGCCCTATCTAACTAAATTCTATTTCAGTTATTTCCGTTTGTTATTTCGTTTATTTGAGTATTTAATTACTGGTTTGGATCGGCATATGGTTTGAATATATTTATGCAAAGCTGATTTTCAGACCGTAAGTTGTTTCTTTTATTGAGTATCTGTCCTGAGAACTATTTTTTATTTATAGAGTAACTACCACGTGGTATTTAGTAACTACCACATGGTACTCAGTAACTACCACCTGGTACTCAGTAATTACCACAAGGTATGCAGTAATAATACCGTAATTATTGTATGTTTCACCCACTTCATTTTGTATGGACCTATGCAGACCTTAAGACAGTGTTCCTGACATTACAATCGTTCTTTTGGCTGATATCGAAGACTTCTCCTGCCATAGTCATCTGCATCCACTTCTGTTAGTCTGGAGAATACCTAACTACCTGTTTACATCATAAGAAACTATATACAGATAAGTCTTAAGTTTGATACACAAGGTACGCTTTTATTTTATAATTTTTGAGACAACAGATTTAATAACCTGGTAAATTATCACTATTTATCCCACATATTGTAGTCAAAATTATTCTTATTTAACGTTATAAGTTATAATTTGATTCGTACAGTACACTCTTACTTACTATATGATATTTTATATGAAAATTATTAACACATATTCATTTTAAAGGTTTTTGTACACGACATGTTTCGAAACATCATCGTATTGAGACATACATAAATTTCACCTGTTTTTATATTAAGTAGCTTACTTAGTTCAAAGAATACAATTACTAAATTCGAATCTATTTAAAATAACTTGCGGTTTTATTGGGATCACTGTGACTAATTGATGATACTTGTGTTCGTTTTCAATAAATGTTTAATGTAGGATAGTTATTTCTGACTTTTATTCCTGATAAACATAATAGACCCTTAATGCTGTTGATTACTTTATTTTAGCTATGTTGTGATATCGTATTTTTTCTTTTTGGTTTCTTACTTTACCACTCTCATAAACAAAGTAAGTGGCGCCCTTTTCACTGTCTTTGACCATACCTATTTGAATTCTTAACATCAATATTAAAATCTCTGCAGCCTATATATTATCATTTTTTTATTTTAATATTTAACAACATTAGAAAGTCACTGTGAGTCAGAAGCCTTACCTACAAACCCAGCTTTCCTCTAACCCTGAGCAACGGATTCTTTTTTCATTCTATTTGGGTAACGACAGAAAAGTCGTCACAAATTCTTCTTCGAAAAAATGATGATAAAACTGTTTCTGTTGAACTTTTGACACAAAATCATTTCAATTTTATGATTTCAGTGTAATAACTATTTAGTCAACATGTTTAATTTATGTCAATTACGACAGGTATTGATAATTTTGATTCCAAATATCTCGAAAACCATTACTCGTAGCGATTTTTACCATGAGATCTTTTTTACGTAAAAATCGTGGTAAATGTATATTTTTTGTTTAGTAGTTTTATACAGTAGCGGACGAAAAGTTATTACTCTTCAAACCAGTTAAAAAATATGTAGGTGGCGCCCTCTACAAGTACGAGTCATATTGACATCAAAATCAAATTTCTCAAATCAAAAAACTCCCTGACACAAATTTTCATACAAACATGGATGTTACTTAAGAAATTATTTGGAAAAAATCGAAATAAAAATGAGATCTCTACATACTGTATCTACAAATCTAAGCATTTTAAGGCATACACTTATACGAACTTTTTTACTTATTTTTATCTGCAGAATATGCTTCCGAAGTTTCCTAAATACAGTTTGGACCACCCTGTATATTATTTTACTTTTTGTTGCAAATATATTTGTTAAAACAATTTTAAAAACTCTCAAAGTAAAAAAGTTAATTATTGAGTATACTAACATTTATTGCACTGGCAGCTAACAACTTAAAAGGTAAACTAAAACTAAAAAAAACAACTAAAAACTTAACAATCTAAGCTTAGAAAACTGCTTTTTTAATAATTTACTATTAATCTTTAATTATTAATGTAATAACTTCGGTTTGCCTCATCGATGTCCATCGGCACATAATGTAAAAGGATGTGTCCACCTGTGTCCTGTTACTTGTTTTCCGTTATGCACATATAGAGTGATTTAGTAAAAAGAATAAAATTAAGTAATGTTAACTGTATTTTTTTAACAATATTATGCATAACACTAAGTGTTTTAAATAAAAAACTCATAATTTTACTGAAATCAGTCAGAATCCAATCTATAGATTTTAGTACAATACTAAATTTTCTAACAAACTAAAAGCACTTTAAGTAACCTATAGTTATTCACTCAGTTTCAATATTAATAATTTTATTTTAGAGATAAACCTGGAAAAGCGTTTTTGTTTGTGTTCAGTGTGATACATTTGTTTCCAAGATTATTTGGTTTATCAAAAAATTTGCTTTTATTGTTAATTAACTAAATAATATGTTATTTTTCTTTGGTTTTTAAATACTTTATTTTAGCAGCCATATTCCTAGAAGATAGCAATTAGGGACAGAATCAAAAAAGCACAGTCTGTTCTAATAGCTTGAATGTGGACATAATTTTAAGACTTTCAGTAAAATTTTATTCTTTCAGTGCATAATTGACGTTTTAAATAACACTTCTTCTTAAGTGCTGTGGTAAAATTAGATTTTAATTATTGGAAGGCGAGATACTAAAAAAGGCAAGAAATAACATGTCTCAAAAAATAGTATTTTAATAAATCTTTTACTTTAACCAAAATGAGTAATCATAGTTCTGCATTTCGTATTGGTTGACTGATAAGAAAACATTGTAACGTACTTAATAAGAAATAAAACAATTCATATCAAAATAACTGATATGCTAGTACAGGAACGCGACTTTGTTAATTTCAAAAAATTCAAATGAGGTAAATTATCAGTTCAATATACCATAAAGAAAATTAATATTGAAATTGAATTTTATCGCTTTTTTTTCTAATATGGGCCTTGAGATGATAAATATCAATAAAAAATAGAAAATTAAAATGCAAAGACAGTTAATGACATTTAAAACAAACTAGTTAAGGTACATATTTTATACAGTTACGTTTAATTAAAAGTTTGGTAAATCCGCAAGAATCACGGTTTATATCAAAGTTGATTGAAAGGCATTTTAAAATAATTGTATAGATGTAAGAAAGATGCTTAAATATTCCCGACATTTAAAACAAACTAATTTAGGTATATTTTTAATATAGTTATCTTCAAAAATTCGCAAAAAAACAGAGAATCAGTGTTTATATCAAAGTTGTTGAAACAGAATTTTAAAATAATGGTATAAATAGGCGAGAAAGATGCTTAAAATATTCCATTTGAATCAAATTTTCATTTTTATTTACATACCATTTTCCATATTCTAATGTGCTGATTTTAATTTATTTATACAGCGTGTTCTCAATTTGAGGGTCACATTTGGGATTACAGGAGGAGCGTCATAACCATGATAGGTACAGCTTCGCCACAAAAAGTGTAATTTTTACTCCTAGTAAAACACTATACTATTTTTGTATTTAAATAAATAAAGTTAATGATGGTATCTCAGAATCTATATGTCTGATTTGACAATAATTCAAAGCATCATATTATAAAAAGTAATAAGTGAAAATTAAGTATCACTTATTTTAAAGAAAGCCTCTAATATATTCAAAAAAGAAATAAAGACAATTTTACAATATTTCAATTTATTCCAAATATCCTCGGAAGTATTAGGAATATTTTTAATTTTCAATTCATCCTTTTATTAGAAATGATATCGCAAGACTTTGCAATTAAAACAACTTTTTATATCTCATATAGTTTTTAACATACCAAAGGTTATACTCGATTTTGGACATCCTGTACATACGAGCAGTTTTATTCTCTAACAAATATTGTATTAGTACATTATTTCCAAATACTTTTCACACAATTTTAGATTATGACAAAATTAAAATATTTGACTGATTCAAAATAAGCCTAACTTCTCTTTATACGATACACCTTTTCTCTCTGTACTCACCTCCGCCCTGTTGCCTGATGAACGTGAGTATATTCGTCCTGTTCCTGGACGCGGCCTGGTGAGCTGTGGTCCTCCCTCTGGGATCTCTGAGCGACAGCCGACTGGGATCCTGGAGGTAGAGTTTCTGAAACATGTCCAGATTGCCGCTCTCAGCCGCCTGGAAAAACAAACGTAAAATTATGAAATTTTGGTGGTTTGAGCAAAGTCATTGTTTTATCACTGCTTCTAAAATATTTGTTATTTTGTAGGTAAAATAATATGATTTTAAAAAAGAAATAATATTTAACTTCATCACAGAAGTCAAAAGCGTTTCAGAAGAAGTTCAGTCAGAAGCGAAGAATAAAATAGAAAAAAGAAAATTGATTTAAAATTTATAAATAGATGAGTAGTTTTATTTATAAAATTTAAATAAAATTTGAGATTTTTTAGATGATTTGGGAAAAACCCAGAGATTTTTCAAGAAAAAAGGTGTGATATAATATTATAAAAATAATCAAAAACTCGAATGGAGTTCGAACAAAATCACCAATTAAATTAATTGCTATTAAATAACAGTTATTGCAGACAAATACTAGTTTGTCTTGTTTATCCATTTATCCAGTTCTCAAAGTTGATTAATCAATAAAAGATTAATAAAGTCGTAATAAATTAGACTAACAAAAAAAAAATAACATGGAATGAATCAATATCTAGATTAAACCAGCATTAAATCATAACTTTAGATTTTAATAGCTATTTTATAATGATATAGCTATTTTTTATGATATAGCTGGTATATACAGGGTGACTTTTAAATAAGTGCAAATATTTTTAGAGGTAGTTTATTTCGACAGAAAAAATTTAAAAATTTTTTGGAAAAATGTTTGGATTTTTTTTAGTTTTTAGTTGAAAAACATAACTTCTTGATAATACGGCAATATAGGTAGTAGATTAAATTTACAAGAAAGAAGATCCAGAAAAGATCTAGTGGTTCTCAAAATTTTAGCAATTTTTTTTCAAAGTAAAATAACTAATTGGAAATAATATATTAATAATAGTTGAATACATATACAGTACGTCTGCTGGATCTGTGTCTATGAAAGGAATGCGGACAAAAAAACATTTAAATAAACAGCAATATATTTTATACGTCGACTTGACGAGTGCGTCACCGCGAATCGCTCCGCCCATTCATTTAATTGGCTACTTGCAAATTTGTCGAATTTTTATTGATGGGACGCGTCGTCTAATTTTTTACGAAAAACATCGAGAGAATATCGTTTCCCCTCTCACGGATACCCAGTAGCTACAGAACGGACAGACGTACTGTATATAAATAATTTTCTCGTCGGAATACGTCTCGCAAAACCAAATAATGGCATGGGAGCAAAATGGATGCCGGAAAGGGGCAAGAAGATGCAAGGAGAACCTACTGATAGACACAATCATTACAAGACACGCTAAAATAAAAACTGCAAGGCATTCGATTCCATGCCCCATTCTTGGCTACTTCGTGTGCTAGAAATATATAAAATCGACAAACAAATTACAGATCTTTTAAAACATCTCATAAAGACTTGGAGTACAGTTTTACAAGTCAATGGTAAAAATAAGGTTTACATCACTGAGCGGCTCAATATTAGGCGAGGAATATTCCAAGGAGATGTGTCCACTGTGATTCTGTCTTGCCCTTAACCCCCTTAGTAGCATGCTTAATAGTAGCCCACACGGATACAAAATAAGTCCTAACACCACAATCACGCACCTTTTCTATAGGGACGACCTTAAATTATATGCTAGAGGTCCTGACCAACTTGGCAGCCAATTAGAAACAGTAGCAGCTTTTAGTGCGGCAGTCCATATGGAACTGGGAATTGACAAATGTGCGACGATACATATAACCAAAGGTAAAGTCCAAGATCCGGAAAGTATAACACTGATGGATGGAACATCAATAGATGGAATAGGTATCGAACAAGAATATAAGTATTTGGGAATTGAACAAGCATTTAACATCAAAGAAACATTAAACAGAGAACGGGTTAAAGAAGAGTTTTTCCGCAGATTAAATATTGTACTGAGAACCTCTCTGAAAGCAAAAAATTGTTTCGATGCAATCAATACCTGGGCAACACCTGCACTTACGTTTACATTTGGTATTCTGCCGTGGTCTCCCACTGAGCTAAAATATCTGGATCAAAAAGTCAGAACAACACTCAATACAGGATGCACCATCCAAAATCTGCCTTGGAAAGGTTATACTTACCAAGAAGCGATGGAGGAAGATCTCTTATAAATCTTGAACTTGCAAATCTGCAGCAGAAAGAAAGCCTCATCAAATATTCTCATGCAAAACGCTCTACTACCATACAAGCCATCATCAAAGCAGACAAAAATCTGAGTGCACTAAATCTAGCGCAATAACTAGTAGAAACATACAAAGTAAGGAGACAACAACTGATCAACTCACTCAAATCAGATTGGGCGCAAAAAGCACTCCATGGGAGGTTCGCTGCCAGTATTGAACAGCAGGATGTATGCAAGACCATGTCAGTCACCTACCTGAAGCACGGATACCTCTTCCCAGAAACAGAAGGAGCATTGGCGGCGATACAAGATCAAGTAGTACCTACAAGAACATATAGAAAATACATACTAAAAGAAGACGTACCTTCAACAATATGTCGGTTAGGTTGCCCTGCTCAAGAAAGTATACAGCATATCATATCAGGCTGCACATCACTAGCATCTACCACAGACCTTAGCAGACACGATAACATGGAGAAAAATTTACATCAAGCACTATGTCTTAAATACAAACTGCTACAAACCTACACACCGGACTACAAATACACACCTTTGGCAATACTACAAAATACCAGCTACAAAATTTTAGGGAACATGGATATCATTACTGATAAGCCAGTGCACCATAATCGCCCAGACATGGTTCTCCAAGACATAGCAGCGAAAAAAGTCACTATAATAGACTTTGTAATTCCATTAGACTCCAATATGACACGGATGTATGACGAAAAAATATCTAAATACCAGGAACTGGCAACTGAAATCAAAAAGCTATGGAATCTAGCTAAAGTTGAGATTCCACCAATTATTATATCAGCTAACGGACTAGTACATAGAAATATGCAAAGCCACCTAAAAATCTTCAAATCCCGACCAGCATAATTTTGGCGATGCAAAGGGCTGTGGTACTTGGCACAACATCGAAACTACTACTAACACTAGTACGAAAGGTTATGTCTCCATAATGAGCACGCCTTGTATCTTGGTATACGACCCGATACAAGGATTATTCCAGAGAAAAAAAATTGAAAAACGGTCAAGAGAAAATATGTTTGTTTTATCGTGATCTACCAGCACTGAAAATACTTGCACTTATTTAAGGCTCATCCTGTATAACGATATAGCTATTTTTTCAACATATTTTTATATGAAAATAATAGATTGGGCTAACATAACCAGTTATCTACGTCCTATTTACAAATTTTAAATACAAAACTATACTAAAAAATGTTGTTAGAATAACAATGTTAAATCTTATAATTACTGTACAGGCTGTCCCAAATTCGAGTCTTACTGTTGGGATCCAAATAAACTACAAAAGATACGGGGTCGGTTAAATAGTTGGGCATATTAATGCTGATCCAAAAGCCACACTAAAAGTAGCAAAGAGTATGTGAAAATTATTTCGTTTTATCTGTTCAAAAATACTCATAAAAAATAAAAATAAAATAGCCAATATTCGTTTTTTTTTGGTATTCTTAAACATTTAAGGCGGCATTTTGACCAGCATCAAAATGCGCCATTTTCAAATTTGGGACACTCTGTACATCTTTAATTCCCTTTTTTGTTGCGAATTTATGTGAAGCCTTTAGAATATTATATTACGTTAGGATAAAACTTTTAAGACACTTTTGTAAACATTTCGTGTTTTTTTAGGTCTTGTTTGAAATAAAAACTTCCTGAAGTAGTTACTTAAACTTGAAAACGGGTAATATTTATAAAAAGGACTTTGTAAGTTAAAATGTCTTTTAAGTAATATCAAGAAAAATCGGGTTCTAAGGGTTTGAGGGCTATATTTAGAAATATTTTTTACATTTTATTAAATTCCAAACTTTTCATTTAAGGAAGAACCTAAGAAAATAATATTTTTAATATTTCAGATATTTATATTAACAAAATTGAATTTTATTTACCATACTCTCACTGGTAACATCATTTTGCACACCCTATATTCGATAATCCAATTGAATAATCATAATATTTTTTTTATTTAAACTTCAATGTCTTCTAGATTATAAAGATTTAGTTTTAGCTCATAGAGCAAACTAATTAAGACTGAGAAAACTTCAGTAAGCTGATCTTAGTTTGCACCAAAAATCTATAATTTAAACAAGACTTAAGAAGGTCAATTAAATTCGTATCAGGTACAAAAGAAATTACGAACTAATTATAATAAGCTAGCAGCATTTAAGACGTAAATTTCACTTCTTCACAGACTTAATTTTTATGAGCAAATAATGTATATACCTTCTTAGTGAGTTTGTAACAGAGAAATAGCAAAAATTCTAGATATTTTACAACTGAAAGAAATAAGTAACAAATATAAATAGTAGTTATAAAAAAGTCATTGTATAATTTTTTTTTACTCAGTGAATTTCTCGGTGAATTTGCAATACAATTCTCATTCCAAAAATATTAAAATGGCATAATCTATATTGAGTAGTTTTTGAAACAAAGCTAGTATGTCAAAAGTCTGTTTTCTGCACATTGAGACAAATATATGAGCCAAAACTAGATATAATAAAAATATATATTTCATTTCCTATTACACCCTCTACAGGGTGGCATCTCTCATACGACGAGGAGGCTCCAAGGAGAACGCCAGTTTGTATTGAAACGTAATTTTGTGAGTACCTCTCTACATGTCGGATAATTTAGAACATTTATTAAAAATATATAGATCTCTATAAGATGTCCCAAAAAAATTACACATCAAAGTTTTCTTTTCTATTATGACACCTTACATACTAATTGATTTTCATATTCCAGGAAAAAAATAAAGGTGAGTTTCATTAGAAAAGCAGAGGACTAAAATGTAAGTTTTTTGACATATTCGACATTCTTTAAAAATAAAAAACAAATTGTAAATTG